GCTTCTGAAAACAGCTTTTTAACCCCCCATCCCAAAATACTAACAGCTTGCCTTGCTGCAAGGTGCAGTGCAGAGCACCACTTGGTGGTCACAAGGAGGAAGCTACACGTGGAAAAAAAAAAAAAAATCAGAGACTTCACGAATGTTGGATTTCAGAAGCAGAGGTGCAATGGGAGCCCGGCAGCCGTGGGCAGGATGCACGTAACGCTTGGGAGTCTCCCAAGGTGGAAAATGGAAGCGAGCATCACACGGCTGAACGTCAAGCTGGAGGTTTGTGCTTCACCTGAGAGCCTTCTACAAAACTCACATTTTCCCTCTTGGCACTTTTTGGCCTTTCAGAGACCTCAGCAGCAGCTTTGAAAGAAAAGCAGCAGAAGAGCCTGAAAGCAGCAAGGGCACCAAGTGCAAAGCCCAGCAGGTTCAGAAGGCATTTGGATTTTCATGTGCATATGCAGCCTAGTGTGAATAATTTTGTGTATTGTGCTTGTATATACTCTTTAATTTTGGCAAAAGTTCACCATACAAAAAAAGAGAAAAACATGTGATGAAATGCTAGCGCCTCATGGTCAAGGCACTAGTCTCCAACAAAAAAAAAAAAAAAAAAGGCAAGTATAAAGTTTTCTTGGCTACAGACGTGAATCTATCCAACCCAGGCATTCACCTAGAGCCTAGCTGTAGGAACATTTCTGAATGCCTGCCAGTGCTCAAAAGTGCCCTTTTCTTGCTGAAGCGGAGGGGCACACAGCATGTATAGCAGCTTCTGCTCTGTAGATCTTCATAAGTTACACATAAGCTGATTTTTGGCTGTGACGTGCCACGTGGACCTACCAAAGGAGGGATGGCATCCTGCCTCCTCTCCCTGTAACACCAGGAGACTTCCGCACTGAAATACTTACAGTCCAAGTAGAGGTTTGTATTTTCTACTGCAGTTACAGTAATGTGAGAGTATTCCAGGGCAGAGTTAAAGACTCATCTCTGAAGAAATCCAAAACCTGCCACTCTTTGACAGACTAAATAAGCACTGTATCCTGTAAAGTTGGCTCTGCCTTTTCTTCATTGAAACAGGAAAGAAAAATAAAACCAAGACACTTAACACTTCCCTGCTGTGATAACAGTACAACCTAGGAAAGATGCGAGCAGCAGGAGTCCCCAGGAAATGAGATTCCTGTCTCACATGTCAAAGATTTTAGTTTTGAAGGGCTTGACAACCTTGTAACAGGCGTTCAAATTTTCAGGTTTGGAGAAGCTATAGGAGAGCACCAAGAAAACAAGTTTGAGACAAAATAACCAATTTTTTAGATGAGTTTTGGGGGGTTCCCAGCTTTATTACTAGAAATAGCTTTATCACCAGAAAGGGCCGTGGTTGGGCTTTACCCATGGGGTTCTGGACTGATCCATTAGCAATATTAGTGACATCTGAAGGATGGGATTTGCCATTTCAGGGCAGCAAAAGCTCCTTATGCTTGCTTCAAAAAAAGGTTTTTCACTACAAAAACATACATACCCATGATGACTTTTATGTCTCAGCAGAGAGAAATGAGACCACCTCACACCTCCTTTGTGAGGCATCTCCCTGCCCCAGCAGGAACCCCCAACCAGCAGGGTCTGAAGCAGCTGGACCACAGCCAGCATCCTGCAAATAAAAGCCCATGATGGCAGCAGGGACCTCACAAATCAACTGCAAAGAGGGACTTGGACCCCTCCAGATGGTCCCGTGCCGCAGGGAAGGGGATCACGGGGCCACCTCTTCCTCCTGGCAACTCAAAGCACCAACAGCCCGTTCTTCATAGATGGCTTCTGTCAGACTTGGTGCTTCTCTATGGGCTTCACGCAGCTGCAGAAACCTCCCAAGCTCCTCCCAAGCAGGAGGACACCCAAATAACTCACAGCAGTGCTATGAGCACAGGGCAGCAGCTGTAAGCCCACACCATGAGCAGGCAGCACTGGCAAACACCATCATCAGGAACGTGCTACAGATTGGCTCCAGGCTGGCA